AAGAAAATATACTTTCAAATAGAGTTATGGTTGGAGTCAGACCATAAATCAGCTTAAAATGTTCCAAAATGAAAAATCTCTGAGAAATATGAACTCTTGTATATACAATATATCTCTCACGAGCCACTGACCAGATACATGTAGTTTTAAAAAAAATATATGTATATCGACTTATAGTCAGAGCAAATTTGCTGAAGCATAGCCTATTCATTACTACATTTCGATCAGTAACAAACTTCTTAGGAATAGACATACTGGCTACAAAATGGATGTTCGTGTATTAAGGCCCCTCCTTGGATGTTTATTGCGTGTGGCCAGGAGCTCACTGTGAATTGGATTCTTAGTAGATACATTAATATTACATATTATAATCTACGAGAATTAGAACGATATGTTCCGCTTGTCAAGTTTGAATAGTTTAATTGACTACCTATTAATAAGCAATAATAATATTAGTACTGGGTCGTTAACTTATAATATATTTTACCAACAGAAAGAAGTAATATAAAGCGTACATCTTTAGTGGCCCTGTCAAGAGGTTGTCAAATTCGTTCCGCCGCGAGTATGCTCCTTAAGGATATTTGTAATGTTAACCGCCAGGTAGCAGTCGAGATCTTCTCAAATGAATGTCACACTCTTTTGTTAGATACGTCACATCTTCTGTTGAAATCGTCACATGTCCTTCAATATGTAATGTGATATATGATTTAAATGGGTGGGAATCTGCTCATTAAGACCATTGTTAATGTTGATGGCCCACTGGATCCTTTTTCTGGACGACTAATTACACCATCTATGCCGTATCTAATGAAATCTGGTGTAAAATATGGTAAATATCCTTGCCAACTTCATCTGATAATTTCAGTTCTTAAAGAAATAAGCCAGCGCTCATTTATTTTTGTATTTTATCATTAATAATACCCATTATAAGATATGAAAAAGCGAAGGGCACTGAATATTTATTAGCCGTCAAGATAAGAATGAGTTTAGAACAAATTGTAGGCCTACAGATCATAAAAGATTACATAAACATCCAAATGTAAGCTATCCAATTTCATTGCCCTACTGCTTTGGAAACAACTCCTTGTCTTGTTTGTATTCTACTATGTCAGAGTTCATAGTCCATGTAGCAATTGGTTCTGACGAGTTATCCAATCGACAAGAATTCGATGTGACATTTTAATTTGACTAGACAATGTATGCAGACAGGCAGGCGGCCAAAGCTGACATCCTGCACTAAAGCTTTAGTGAAATTCTATTCGAGAAAATGAAGATTGGTCGAGATAAAGATCAGAAAATAGTGATAAAATCTAACATGAAGCTAGAATTAAAATACTGCCAGAGGCATTTAATCACTGATCACCCTAACCCTTAATAAGACTCCAATTAACGCAGTAGATCACGGAAATTTAAACAACTGCTTAAAATTGCTTTTCTGGAAACAGCAACAGTGGTAGAAAGAATCTGCGTTGCTAGACGTCTGTTGTAAAATTAAGGCAGATTCTTGTATTAAATGTGTGTATTTTGACGAGTAAATTGGCCTTTCATCTGACAGATTAGAAAATATGAAACAACATTCCCAAAAGAAAACATCTGCCACAGGGTTAAACCTACATCAATGTTTGTGATGCATGTTTTCTAGTATATAACTACAGTTTTATGGTATGGAATCTTCACCATAGAATCATTCAAATATTCATGTAATTGTACAAGATATAATACAATATTTACAAGGGATCTGACAGACAAATGTTAGTTGATTTTGGAAAAATTTGGCCGATTGAGTGAAAAAGTCACAAAAATGACTTTGTGATTATTTCGTATGTAAATCAAAATCTTAGAGTGACAATAAGAGGACTGAAAAAGAGCATATAAGGCGTAAGGCTACACGTGCATAACAACAACCCAAGTAGATCTATTTATCAAAATCACGTGCATTATCACGTGATATGGCGTTCGTCACACGGGACCATCAGATGTTTCACGGGATGTAGAACTCTTCCGTAGTTGAAATAGAAAATAATTCTCATTATCTGTACCAGACAAAAGGCTGAATTAGCTCTTAGAATAATGGAAACAAGATCAAATTAGGAAACGGTCTTGTCACTATTATGCATTATCCTGCCAAGCTCTGGTGCGGTAATTATAGTCGCTGAGGGGCTTTCAGAACGGCAATATGGTCGCTATGTTTGGTTACTGACTGAATGGAATGGGATTATATCGTGTCGAGCCTTGGGGATTTAAAGAGCTGGAAAAGAAACATTGGTTGAGATTTGTGTTATTTATCGAAGTTGACATTTCGTAGAATTCAGCCTATACCAGATCAGAGTTGGAAAATTTCCCCATAATGATAAGGTAGCTAGTCAACTCATGACAGAAGAATCAATGTCTCCTGGTGTACTGCTGCAGGCTTAAGAAGCGAAATGAAGTTACATCTCTTACATTTCTGCAACTTCCTATACTAAATAAGACAAATTGAATTTGACCGTGCAAAAAAATGAATAAATAAATAAATAATAGTTTGCCTAAACCACCGCTTGTCGCTATTTTAGGAAGAGCTAACTAAACTTAAATAAAGTAAAGATGCCAGCATGCATGTCACACAAATTGGGTCGCAAATACTTCAGTTACAGAAGGTTGAAAAATATATGTTGTCTGCAGGAATGTAACAATTACTATATTCAAAAATACTCTCTAGACGCCAAAATGCTTAAAAAGAGCAACTGTTAAGCAGTGAGACAGTGGTTCACATTGAAGAAGATCGTGGTAATGGGCGTCATACACACAGCGGGTCTAAAGCAAACAAAATAATTTTCCAGATAATTGGTTTGAGTAATAATGACTCTATTATAGAGCAACTCACCAGGGAGAGTCAATTAAGATTGTTGCTTATTGAGAGGATAACAAAAAGACTGATGCTCAAGAGACCGTCTTATGAATTAGACAAGAGAAAACGTCGGATCGTGTAGCAATACACCTCAGGCAAAATAGTATACTTCTCTTAAAAAACTATGGGCATTAATTATATATGCAAGACGAAGATGGGAATTTATCGATTTATTTTCTTAATTTCGCTTCTGCCAATACAATTTCTATCAAAATGTCAACGTTACGCCTATATGTTATTCAGAAATAAAAAATACAATGTCATAAAGTGTAAAGTGTAATAGAATTCTTCATTAAGGACAAAATAGATTTTTGAAGATCATATGGATAAGATTTCACATCAGAGTTGTTTGTTTCTGAATTCAGTGGAATTCTAGATTCTGTAATAAATAGATTGCGACGGTATTCAAAAGTAAAACAAGGATGAATTCAAAATATATTTGTTAAAGTAAAAGCCTCAGCAGAAACAGCATGTAAATGATATACATTAAACCACTCAATCCCAACCCCAACATCCTAAATTCCCATTAAATGGTTTTTATGTTCTCGGTATTCACGATGAGCAGATTGATAACAATTTTTACAGGTAATTTTCAATACGATAACATATCAAATTATCGCCCAATACTAGCCTTTAATTACATACTGAGGTGTGATTTAATGTATTAAATTGTATTTTACGATGTTTCTGTGTTTAAATCACGACGTTCGAATCATTTTATTACACCAATTATTTTATTATGTTTATAAAAAATGTGAAATATGTCGCATCTATCGTTAATACTGCTTGAAATATTCAAAACTAGAAAAATATATACCTATACATTGGTCTACAAGTAAACATATGCCAGAATCAGAGCAACATACGTAACCAAATTGAAAGACATTTCCAACATGTTAAGCCAAAAATAAAATAGAATTAAAAAAAATACATTTAATGCTTGTCAACACAAACTTTTAAAAATCACAAAAGATTTTGCCGTGATAACAGAAGATTCCAATACAAAAGATATTTTGAAATATACAATCTATACATAAGACAAATTTTAAACCTTTAACAAAATATAACATTAAATGTGACAAGAATTACAGATTTTTCACTCCCCACACAGTTTGTCGCCACTGGTAAAGAATAAAGAAAACTGATACAACCAGGAGTAATTTTTTTCCACCAAATCTTATTTCGTGCCAATTAACCTCCTGTGATTTTAAACGGCAACAGGTCTAAAATTACCAATAAAATAAATGTTCTTATATAAAATTAGTTCCACATTTTAGGCAAATAACCACACGTGGTTTGTAACATTTTTTTTATATGCAAAATATTCAGTGGATAATAAATTTTATTCAGCAGTGGAATCCGACGTTAAGAGAGTATTCAAATGTGTGAAAAAAGTGCATGAAATTAAATGCTATAAAACAGATCACAATAAAAAAAAATCATCCTGTAAAATGTTCTTAGACCTCAGGTTAGAGAAATTTGAAAATGAAAGTATATACGAGAGCCAGAAAAATTAAACTAATTTATCCGTGAAATGTAAATTAAATTAGATAAAACTATGTTAAACGAGGTGAATTAGACCGTTCAACGGATGAATAAAAACGGCGCCGACAGGGAAGACCGCCCTGAAAATATATGAATTGTAATAATAATGTAATCCTTGCTTATCTATCCAAGGGTTAAATATTATCACTTTTAATCCTTCCGGCGGTTTCTTACTAATCCTCGGCAGAATGACGCCGACTGAAAAGTATCAGCACAAAATATGAAGATATTTTACTGAAGTAGTCCTCCATAAACCCATCTAAAAATTGCCTTCTATATTTTGATGAGTAATAAGAGGTTTGCGAGTTTCTCACCAAGCATGTTCATTTAGCGCCCATTTTCATATCTTTAATGAAGGGACTATGTTACTTTAAAGGGTAATTAAATTCAATTTCGTAGCACGAGGCTTTGAATAAGTATATCGATAGAGGAGAGACTGTGCTCTGATTGGATGATTACTATTCATTAGGATACTGAATCCCCGCCTCCGAGACATGACTGACATAAGATGGTAGATGACGCAGCGTGATAAACATTCAAGAGTTGTTATAGTTATTAAATTTGGAGAAGACAATCGTAATGAAACAGTGGTGAATATTCAGCGAATACAACTTTACTTCAAATTTGAAACATACTGGCGACTACTTTGCAGGATTGTGAAAATTTTCACACTTCCAGTGAGGCCACGACCTCAACTGTGTAATAAACGCATTAGATTGGATCCTGTGAATATTCCGAGAGGTTTCGAACTATTGTTGAACTTTTAAGAAACACGAATGCTCCTGGAAGGTAGTTCCCCCGAGATGTTGGCCGCACAGTCCAAACTGTTATTCCAGTTGAATAAATTTTACAATGAACGAGTTGCAGCGAGAAAGAGTAACGTAAATAAAACTATTCGGGAGGTATGTAAAGTTGTTCAAGATGTTTTGAAAGAGGTGGAAGTGCAGGAACCCCGGTTTATCAGTTCCTTGACAGAAGTAAATCAACGATATGAAGGACTTGAAGTTATCTCACCGACAGAGTTTGAAGTGGTTTTGTATCTTAATCAGATGGGTGTATTTAATTTTGTAGATGATGGGACCATCCCAGGTTGTTCGGTTTTAAAACTTAGTGACGGACGGAAAAGATCTATGTCTCTTTGGGTGGAATTTATCACTGCTTCTGGTTATTTATCCGCTCGGAAAATTCGCTCAAGATTCCAGACTTTGGTTGCACAAGCCGTAGATAAATGTTCCTACCGAGATGTCGTCAAAATGATTCCCGACACTACAGAAGTTCGCCTAAGGATTAAGGAACGATTTATTGTTCAGATTACGCCTGCATTCCGATGTGGTGGTATATGGTGTCGAAGTGCCGCACATTGGCCAATTCCTCAAATTCCATGGCCGAACCCTAATTTAGTTGCAGAAGTCAAAACAGAGGGATTTGATCTGTTATCGAAAGAAAGTATATATATGAAGGACAAACAATCGGCTGCTGAAGGAGATGCATGGGTGATGTCATTTAGATATGCAGAAGATCGTCTTCTTTACGGTGGATGTAGAAGAAAATGTCTCAGTATTTTGAAAGCTTTAAAGGACAAACATTTCGATGTTCCCGGACAACCTATTCTGAATTATCACATGAAGACCTTGCTTTTGTATGAATGTGAAAAACACCCAAGAGAGTCAGAATGGGACGACACGTGCTTGGGGGATAGACTAAATGGTATTCTATTACAATTAATATCATGTTTACAAAACAGAAAATGCCCGCATTATTTTCTACCAAGTGTGGACTTGTTCAAAGGAAAATCTACATCAGGAATGGACAACGCTGCCAAACAGGCCTGGAGGATTTTAAGAGAACTTTTAACAAATCCCCGAAGCTTGGAGAGATTGTGAAAAACTAAAATAAATGTTTTATCGTGATAAATTCAGTGGTATGTCTGGTGCGAACTAGTTAACTGTCGACATAATTTATAAATTTCAGTGTTACATGTTTTTCTTTTAATTCTAATATTCAATTTTCTCAACCAAAAATAAGTGTAGCCTATATGTAAATATATCTCTTAAGAATTGGATGTATTTCTCAAAATGGTAAGTTCAAACCCGCCGATATTTTCGAAATGATCTCCTTAAATGTTTGGAAGAACATTTATTTTTGATTCACAGTAATATATATGTATATATCACAGAATTTCCAATACCAAAGCATTGTATATATATTATTTTTATGTTAAAGAAATTATTCGATTATCTTGGAGATTGAGCTATATGTTATGTATTTATTAGCTATAAATTAAAAAATAATTTAAAAATCCCTATTACTTTTTTATCTCTATACAACATTCGATAGACCTGTTACTGGATATTGCTAAAGACTAACTGCAAAAGCCGAGGGCGTAGAATTCACATGCATGCAAAATATAATATTAAAAAACGGTAATTTCGAATATCAAACAAAATATTTTCAGATTTTGGAGAGAATACTTTCCAATATTAGAGAAAATTTCTAAGTCCACCATCCATAATAATGGATTACAAATAAATCTTATATAAATGTATTCTAATATAATCTTTTCTTTAGTGTAAATTAAAAAAAAATTAACCTATAAAAATCAGTTTTAAAGATATAATAACTAATTGTCATTTAACTACATTAATTTGAAAAATATTTGTACAGGACGCGTGTTTTCAGAGTGAATTAATCGTATAATTTTCCTCATCAATTGAAATCGTATTGATGGTGGGGGATTTATTACAACTTAAGGAGTTTTATGTGACAACATCAAGTGGTTTCAAGTAGTTCTATCAATAACGTAAAGTGGGTTATTCATAAATTATTACTAAAAATGTAAACAAACAATATCAAGTACTTATATAACTACACAAAACCTCCCAACATTGCTGAATTATCAATATTTAACAAATATACCTTTTTTCACTTTTTAAAAACATTTCAAAATTATTCTCAAAAAGTCACAAATTATTTCTTTCAATAAACCTTTATTTATTTTTAACCAACAGTTTATAAAACCTCCTTAAAAAGTTTTCACATACTTAGTATATTTTTCTTGCGTTAATACCGAATATCTAATAAATAAATATATCTCAATCCTTCTTTTCATTCAGTTATTTGCACTAATTTGTTTGCACCGCACAACATTTTCGTTATGAAAACTGTAAATGACAAATGATTGAGTAGTGGAAAGGTATGTTAAAATATCTGAAAATGTTAATAAATACGGAGTTCTTGTCATTATTCCTAAATATCTTGTACATATTGCCTATATTACCATATGGAACTAATTGAAAGTATCTAATACATTAACCTGTAGACTCATTGAAGTATTATACACATGTAACATAGGTAAATTAAATATAGACGATGCACGTGCATCTAGGTTTCTTTGCTTTAAAATACGACCACATTTCGTAACTGTTTTAAAATTTGTTAAATCACCGTATAAAGTACGGATTTGATTTCAGAATATCGGTACCGGTAATAAAAATTTCCAAAATAAATTCTTTTAAGTAGATCTATATTAGTAAACGGAATTGAAATAGGGCCCATCTTTTTCTATAAAAAAGGCAAGTATGACCAATCAACTCTGTTATCATCCGGAGTGGAAAACGAGATTAAAACGGGCAAAATTAAGAGTGGAAAAGGTCAATTCTCGAGATTTCTTTAGTGGAAAATGTCCAAAGAAACTTAAAACAATTGAGAATCAAATGTTCAAAGATAATATAAGGAGAGAACCCAATTCCCACTTTCAAGATAAGTCCTATATTAAACGTTTTCGTAACAGTTAATGTATTCCAGTCATTGATAATATTGTACCATGTTTGTTTGAAACATATATCTTTTAATTTGAAATAGCCTTGGATTTATTGTAAAGACCGTTCAATGACCTATTTTGTCTACATTTATAACTACACAGTCAAATTTATATTCCTATATTTTTTTTTTCTTATTAACATATGGCATAAAAATCGAAACACGGGTAATACACAGTAGTGACTTGACAGAAGAATCTTTTAAAGAAAATTCTTAATTTACCGTGAAAAACATTAAATAATGTAGAAGGGACATTCTCTACAAATATTTACTCCTGTGCGACTCAATAAATTGGTCGTAATTTTTCCAAATCTGATTATTTATTACAGTTCTAATGAAAGCCTTTAAAATCCGAAGTAGCGTGATATTTGCATGTAAGACTTTCGTTTAAACCAAACAAAAAGTCTAATTATAAGGAAAAGTTAGCAAAGGAGTGATGCAGACAATACTAGCGTGATTTCATGACTCTAATACACGCTCAAGCAACGTAATTTACCAGCTTGGAATAGTTTGCGTGAAGCAATCGCTTAGGATACGAAGTTCCGTTTAAATTGCTCACTTAGGGACTATCACATGACTCGGATCGGCAACTGGAAGGACACAAATCTAAGTTACACAGTCATTCGTCTTCATTACCCAACGACAGGGGGTCCCTTAAGATTAAAGACTGAGTCTGTATTATTTCGAATAAATGTAAATGGAAAGCAAACTTCATATCATTTGAGATAATAAGCCTTTATACTTCCAAGTTTCTTTCTACCTGCCAATCACAAAAAGGTTTTGATAAATAAAACAGGAAACGAGCCCGAGGTAGACATTCTAACTTGATGCACACGTAATTAATGGCGTTTTTAATGGACATGGCATGAACCTATCACAACTACTCTACCATATTCACATTTGACAAATCATTACAAAGAATCCTACACGTCTATCCATAGTCTGTAGAGTTTAAGTTGGTTGTTGATAATGTAGGTACATTAGGCAGATGATCCAATTTCATACAGAGTACCGTACGTATCAAATCAAAGAGTCCAACAAGGTATCAAAGAAGACAAATTCAGATAAAAGTAACCATGGAATTCAAATAAATCATTGCCTGCTACATAAAGTTTCTATTCAGTATTTAATTGGTGTTATTTGTTCATAATCTCCATCCTTCTGTCATGTTAACAGGACTACCACCCACTAGAGACATATCAGGTTGCTGAAAACGCGTGTTCGAACCCGGGTCTGGAGCTCCTGGGTGCTATTCATCCACGATCGCCACCTGGTAGCTCGACACTTCCTGACAACTTTAAATTTTAATCACCTCTAAGAAATATAGTATGTGACATTTTAATATCAGAAGAAAAATGTAGCCGAAAACATCTCTCCTTGAAATTAGGCTGGGCCTCAACGAGGATGTCCAAACAGATGAAAAATCTCCAACGCAAAATAATAGTCGAAAAAGTAAATTAAAAAATAGGTAACGTAAAGATTTTCAATAATTGTGTATTGTCAACAACAATTTTCTGCTCTGCCAGAGATCAGACAAAAAGCTTCCTATCTGGAAAGACAAGTGACAGTTAAGCCTTGGGCAAGGAAATTAAAATTTTCGCGTTCAATTCCTTTTGGCGTTTTCTGGGACAGAATCAACGACATAGTTCGTTTTTTTCCCTTGGAAATCATTTTGAAGGGAAAACCTGACTACAAGAGATTTGAGTATATGTATATAAACCTCAATCAGTTTACATGGAATGATAAGCAACGGAAACTCTAGTGGGTAACATGACATGTGTCAAATAAATCATAAAATAGAAAAGTACCTGTCTAGGTTCAGTGGAATGATATTTGAAAAGAGTATTACATTCCTTGAGTAATAAGATTTTAGCAGAATTCTAGTTATGAATTAAAAGGCGCCAACTTGAAAGTATGTTCATACCAGAAGGCGAATGACTTTGATACATTTAACATGACGGTAAAGGCAGATTCTCACAAGCAATCTACTAAACTGTAGTGGGTATCATCGATTATGAAAATATGACACACACATTGACATCAGAATAGACCAATATTTGCGTGCTGAATGTACTTAACCCTGGAGCAAAGAAACCGGGGAACGATAGCTCATAGACTGAAGATTACCATATAATTATTTGCTACAAAATTCAATATTGCATGATCAAACTGATTAAATTAAGGGAAATATTTTTCTTCGTAAATAAGGATTATTTAGAGACCAACCAGGCTAATTATCTATAATTTCAATGATGGAATTGTTTTAGAGTGAGTTTGAAATTATATGGTTTTGTTGGAAACGTATCATTATAATAAATTAAAAATATTGCATATGTTTAATCTATAGAAAAAGTGAGAAGATCAAGAAAATCTAACTAGATTGTAAGCAAAGAAAAGTGTGACGAGAAATCTTTGTAGTGAAATAGAAATCGGAGTTCATTCTAATTTCGTAATTTACTTCAAATTTGAGAAGATCCTTATCAAAATGACACAAGATGTCAGTCAAAGGCATTCAAAAGGACTAGACTCAATATAAATGGAGTAAATTAATAAGCATGAAGATATAAAGAAGACAACCCCATACTTTGACATCTACTCAACACTTAATGCATGGACGAGTGGCCTTACAAAATATAGGTAACCCTGCACCAAATTAGTGGTTGTATTGTACGTAATACGAATACCTATCTTTTTTTCTTCGCTCGACAAAGCAAGAATTATTTTAACACTTCGTCTATGGACTTAACAGGTCAAAATTTGCCCTTTTCCAGGCGCCGAGACAGAAATTTTGAAACTTTTTCTTTGACAATAATTAAATTAATCCACACATTTCTCTTACTGAACTAAATTATCAAGAATGTTAAAATTCTTGCTGATCATCGTAATAGGCCTTGAAGTTTACAAAGAATTTAAAGATGCTTGGAAATAATGACGCATTGTGTTAATTTAGTTATGGTTCGCGAACAAGATATTTCATGTATATACGGACTACGACTCTCTTGAGTTTGTCCAAAATCTAATTAATCCGAGCCAACTCTTAAAAATTGATGCTGACTTCAAGCCTGAAAGATCTCTAATTATTTTAGACTGGAGGTCCCGAGATACAGCTTGCGATACATTTTAAGGAGATTCGATCAGTTCTGGTTTGATGAGCAGTTTATGTGTTCTTTATGAACCGACAGTTTTGCAAATAAATTCTGATATGGAATCCGAGTAATTACACTTTTGAAGGATTCCTTTATTATAAAACCTTAATGACTACTAACGAAATGACAGCTTCATTTACTACGAATGTGTGGTTTCTTGTGCTGGTAAAAGAGAAAAATTGTGTTATAGTCGGATTCTAATGCAACATAAATTTAGGCCAACATGGGTATTTTCTGGAATGAAAAGTAATTTAAAGGGAATATATTCACAGTGAAAACATGCATTATCATATTTCGATGATAAAAACTATAATATATGAGGCACAGAGAGATACA